GGGATAAATAATAGGGAATAAAAATACGGATAGACAGGGAAAATATATAAGAAATACGAGTGGGTAGGGACTAAACATAATTAATATTTTAAAAATACAAATACTGCAAATTAAATGACGTTTAATACAAAATTAAAATTTCGCGATCGCGAAGTTAAATTTCATTTCTTAAGTCGGATATAATTAAACTACTTAATAAATTACATAATATATAGATAAAAATACATGAACACCACAATTTCATATTTGGTCATTCGAAAGGAAGGTTAAAATTGAAAAAAATTTTAAATTAATTTTATAAGTCGTGCATTCGAGAATGTAAAATTAAGAGAGAATGTGAAAGTTTAGCAAATTGGAAATTTGTTCAGAAAAATACATATGTTATTTATTACGTAATACTACTCATAGAAATTGTATAGAACTTCTTATCTAAATTCGTTATTTTGAATAGTCGAAGTTTTTTCTCTTTCGGGGCAGTTTGTTCAAATTGAAAAGCAAGAGTGTGAAATATCGTCGCAATTTCACAGAGATACTTCATGCAGTCGAAGTCAGCTTTTAGAATACGCACGAGGTAGAAAGTGAGCTTCTCTTAATGAAAGAAATAATTTATGTTCTTACTTGGAAAAATCTCTTGTTTTCGGGGTATATTTTGCATTCTAGCTCACAGTACCTACTTTAGATACTTTTGCATAATTTACTTGGATATTGGGAGATATAAACATAATGAAGTAAAAATGCTCCAGCGCTTCATTAAACTTTCATATTCACATGTTTATTGCGCGGATGTAATATACATAATTTACATAATTTTTTAAAGTTAAGCATCGATAAAGTTGAGGAAAATTAAAAGAGAAACAAATTTTTTTATATTCTTTTATTATCACGAGAAATAATATATACTCATTAAAAACCACGTTGGCTCTTTGCACATCACCTTTGTGTTAATTTAATGCAATCCCGAAATGAGGAACAAACGTTCTTTTCTTTTTTTGAGAGAGATATTGGAAACAATTTTCAAAATTGAACGAGCACTACTTATAATTGATACTTTTATCTACAAGAATGAAGGCAAGATTGAAGGCAAGTTAAAATGGGAAGGTCAGTGAGAACAGTGCACCACCAGCTTAAACGAACGGCAATAGTTTATGCTTGTCGCGCGTAGAAAAAGGGAAGAAACACTTTCTCGATATTGACGAAGGTACTACAGTCGGCGACCTCGTATAGTAGAAAGCGTCGAACAAGACCATAGATACTGCGAGTGGCAATTCGCTTTTATGGCTGTTCACACGGCAGAATCCGTCTAAATTTCTTCTACTACCAATTCATTGAAGCCACACGATAAATTGTTAAAAAGAATAATCAGAGACAAAGAAAAAAAATTTAGAAAACATGGATAATAACGAGAGGATCAGAGGATGCCACATCGAGAAAATACTAAAGATATACTCCACGAGTTTTGTGATGAAAAATGTAAAAAGAACACGATAAAATTATTCATATGTGATGAAATAAGTATAAAATTCATCAGAAATAGTGGAAGCGAACAAATTCAAGTTCATTTTCTTCTGTATTCTCGTGCTTATCCAGCACTGTATCGCTTTTATTAAAACTTTTACTATTTTTCGTATCTTGTCTTGCACGGCAGCGAGTTTTCTTCTAAAAATATTGCGGCAGAAATACGCTAGCCGGCGTCTCGGCAAACATCGTAGTTCTATCATGTGCTTTATTCGGCATTCGGTTTTCTACACTCTACGGTAAATAGCACGGCACGCCAGTGCACTTTGCACATGTTGTGCCGTGAGAAAAACAATATTGCATTTCCGTATCACCTCGCTGTATCTGGTATGTCATGTATCCTGCGCACAACGCGATGTGTCATTTTGTTCGCGGTAAATATGTTTGTTCTCAAGCAATATCACATTACGGACGAGACTGCGGCCACGTCGCGGCGTGATAATTCACGATTTTGCTCGTCGACGCGAATGATTCACATCCTCTCAGGAGACAGAACTCCGTGACTTTGATGCATTGACAAAGGCCTGACACTGTGTCGCATGTAGAGGACATTATAATCGCCGAGTTGATCTCGTATTTGTTTTAGATCGCTTAAATACGATTTTACGTATTCAAACATTGAACTTTTGTAATTTGAGGAACAAAATACAATTCTCTCGATATTTTTGTTTAAAAAAATTGATTTTAAATTTTACAAGATAAAAAAGATACTATTTCTATTTTCTATTGTCTAACTATACATATTTTTAAATTTCACGAAAAAGAAGTTCAATTATAATAAATATAATTGCACTCTCCACAATTTTTAGTATATTTTATGGAGGACAAATTAGAATAGAGATAGGAGAACAAGGAATTGACACAATTACTGTACAATGATAAGTATATTTCTTTTAACGTACTTTAATCTATATATTTATTGTACATATCTCTGCCAACGGAATCGTTTCCTCAGCATCAATCAAATTGTCTTGCACAATTTATTCTTATATGTATAATGATAATCTGGGCGTATGATTTTACGGAATTACTATGTAATATTTATAGTATGTTGTATAGCGTGTGTATATAGTACATATATTAATAACTAGGAACACTAAGGAACGGACTTTACTTTTGAGCAATTTTCTTAAACCTAAATGGATAAAACGTCATTAGCAACTTCGCCTGATTGGAAGCTAGTTTTAAAACTGACTAAATGCTTTATAATCTCGCATTACATAATTTTAAAAAGCATATTTAAAAGCATAAAAAATTTTTATAAATATATCTATCTGATAAAAACCAGGCATTTTTAAATAATGACTTGTTTGAAGAAAAGTGTAGATAAAGAAAGGTTGAAAGTTTACTATCGCAAAATAAGTTATTAATAAGCTTTGCGAAAATAATTCTCGATTAATTGCAAATATCACAGCGGAAGACTTACATTAGTCACTTTTACAACCAGGTGTGGAATGACCTTATAAATTAACAAGATTATGTCAAAAGAGATGCGTGTTTCGTTAGATTATACGTATACGCTTTTGCATACAAAATATCTTTCGATACACGCAGACATAACGCATATCGTAACACAATGCAATATACATGCTCTGTTCTTATACATGCTTAACTCTTACTCATGAAATATACAGTGGTGAATGAAACACAAATGCTTTATTTTAAAATCTTATAAAAGTCTAAGCTACGTGATGCACATGTGGCAGTTCAGTTTTATAATATAATACATAATATTATATAACATCATATAACAACGTGAAATACAATATGCAACATTATTCTAATTAAAATATCAATATTATTCTAAATTAAAATATCAACATTATTTTTAACGGTTTCTCCCACAAGAAAACTGCTATTATAAAATATGAAACGATCACAATTGGTTCGTAACGAATTCAATCAATTTACACGACCGTATTTACCTTGCGACTCTTTCGTTGTCAAAAGAATGTTTGATCGGGACAACGATCTTTCGCTATTCGCATCTCGCGTTTAAAAATGCTCTGTTTAAAATTAGTCAGCAAATCGTCAACACCACAATAGTTCCTAATGATGAATTAATAATCATTTACTCGATAACCATTAAATATTCATCGTCTTATAATAATTTATAATTATTTGCCGTTATCTTTTTACTGTTATTATTACAAAAATATATATATTTAAATAGTAAAATAGTAAAATAGTACTTTTTTCTCATTCAACTTCTTCCTCAGGGGCTCATTGGTGAGTACGGGAGTTGGCCTTCTCGAGGTACCCGAGCCATTAAAAGTCTGGAGACGTAACCAGACACCTTATTCATATTCCCAGGCTAGATAGCCTAGGAACATAGATAAGGAGACATGTCATTATATCTTAAAAAGTACGCATCGGTAAATATTCATATACCTATATTTATACATATTTGATGCAATCGGTTTTTTACATAAAATCGTAATTAATGCAAATTTATAACTTACAAGTAAAATTACAAGTAAGAATAGATGTTTTTATTATCGTGTGTAAATAATATTGGCTATTATTTTTATTATTAACAAATATTTGCGACGTCGCAATTTAGTAATTTTATGTCGTCGTCCACGATCGGTGTTTAAAACAGATTTAGCAAACATTTTAAATTGAAACTTTCGATTTAACTTTAACTTTCGCGTAATGAAACTTTTGAAATTCTCTATTTTATTATTTAAATAAAAATGTTATTATAAAGTTTTTCCAAATACAAGATATAAATAACCTTTCGTCTGTTAGTGTCTTTTGTCTTTCATCTATACTAATGTTAACCAAAGACATGAATAAAGCAATTAATTCTGGATACTCTATTTCACGAAATAATTTTCTATCACATATATTTACAATCCGGTCCCATCTTATATATTGTTAAATTCCATTCAATGAATAAAATATTTATTAATTAAATAGAAGCAGTCAGATAAATCATCTTTGTTTAAAAAAAAAAGTTTATAGAATTATCTAAAATCCATCTACTGTATTTCTTTAAACTTCTATTAGACGAAAAAGTTTACGTAATATCAAAAAATTGGAATTCAACGGAATGCAAAATTTACTTACGAATTTATTGTCACGAGGCGATAGATTACGAATAAAAATGTAAAGTCATTGCGTGGAATAAATATCCTGTCAAAGAAAACAATCAAACCTTTGACAAGCAGATCACAAGTATACAAAAAGCATTTTCCTCTCGCGTTACACACCTTCTATATGTATAATGATAATATTTTTTAAAGCGCATGATCGGATTTTATTTTTAAAGCCATTCTTGAGCGCGAGCGAACGCGACCGATCGTTCTGCCGATCACACACATGAGATCGATCATTTGTCGTTTATGGCGTGAAGGCTTACGATATAATTATATTCTTGGTTCGAGCGCTCAGTATAAATTATTAGGCTATAGCACTATAAATTATTAGTTGTACATTAATATGTACGACACAATATGTATAAGCGTGAATGAGCGCACGCACGTGGAGTATGAAGAATGAGGCACAGTTTTGTATCTTCAATCAGGACGCGGAAGGTTCTGTCGCAGTCGGTTTCTTCTCGCGCCTCTCCCACATGTTGATTCTCTTTAGCGGATAACAGATCACAGCCGACATAAGCATCAAGCTGCCGGATAGGTAGAACGAAGCGTCGTAGCTCCCAGTCGCATCCATGAACGCACCTATTTGCACGTATAAATATTATTCAGTGAACCGACGTCCAACTTCTCTGATTTAAATCGTTATCATAAGTAAAGATTTATAGGATCTACGTATAATAATGAATAATTCTATCGAATAATTCTAAGAATTTATGCCGTTTTCTAGAACCAAAGGCGCTTGCTTTAAAAGCAAATCGCAAATCAGCGTTCCTATCAAGTTTATTGCGACGTCTTATATTCCGATGATCGATATCATTCTAATTACCTGCAAGAGGCGCGCCCACAGTCGCCGCCACACCTTGAAATAGAAGAAGCAGCCCAAAAGCGTTTGTTAGTTTCTCTAAGCCCAACAGATCCACAACGAGAATCGATCTGAGGGAAGCGAAGACGGCTACGAAAGAATGTCTGATATATTTCACAGATAAATATAAATAAATATAATTGAAACTAGCTAGCTTATAAATATCAAACCGAGATATTGTGTAAGGACAAGATGGTAAGACACATCTATAAGATTTTTACATATAAGATGTATCTTATAGTAATATCTTAGTCTTTTGTCCTTCATAAAAGAATTCATAAAAGAATTTAAGAAGTCAGTATTCTGCTTACATATACTAAGGCCAAAGCTAGCTGCATAAAAGAATTGATATCCCTCGGTTAAAGAAAGGCCGGAGAATATAGTTACTAAACCACCGACGCTGATAAATATATTGTTCACGACCAGAGCGTTTACTCCGGGCAAACTGCTTGCTAAGCCGCAAACAATACGACCAATAGTGTTGCCGATGCCGATCACCGAAACGAGGAACATTGCCGAAGAAGCGTCAATGTTAGCTTTTATTGCTCGATCTGTAAAGAAAATAGGCAAAATGATTTATTTTTTAAAGCCAAAGAAATAATACATAAAAATGTGTATTACGAGAATACAATAGAGATAAATTATAAATAAGATATGTATATATAGGATTTTTATTTTTATTAGAAATCTATAGCAAATAAATAAATAGTAGTAAATAAATAGTATTAATAATATCTTTAAAAAATCTTTTACTTTTACTAAACTGGCATTTAATATATTATTTACTGTTTTTTAAATGAATTTTAAATTCATATTTAATTCATTATTATTTGAATTTTTCTTTCATAATTGTTATATTATCGGAAAAATGTTATGAGCAATATGTATTATCTCTAAAAAATTCTCTTGAAAAGTCGCTTATTTTTCAAATATGACAAGAAAAATTGCAAAGGAATAAATATTGATTGTTTACTATACCTGCTACATACAAGAAGGGCGTATAAAAGCCCATCATAGTGAGCGCACCAGAAATCGCTAATATTAAAAAGGACGGACTTTTCAGAAGGCTCAAATCGAGCATTGTAGTCAAAATTCGTCGCACGCTTTCCGGACACAGGTAGAAACTTCCGCTTTCTTCCTCTGCCACATCCTTTGCCGTTGGCAATCGTGTCACTGACATGTGATAACCGACTGACGATTGCTGTAAAATTGCAAGGTTTTTAATATCTTAAGTAAAACGATTTCTTTATACGATTAGAAATTCAGTGACGACAATTTAATTGTGTAGAAGTAGAATTAGAAAAAAGCGGAATATTGACCAACCATTAAAATCGCTCTGATCTTATATTCTTTGCACAAGAATTATTAGAATTCTTTTTATGTACTCCAACATTATATACATGTAATGGGAAAAATTAAAAATACATTCCGGAAATACATTCGCGATGGAACTTACCTGAGACCTATAATGAGGAAGTCTGTTCAAAGAGCCGCCGTAAAAGATGTCGTCTCTGTAGAACGGCCTCTGCGGATCTTTCGAATTACGTTTGCCTGTTCGAAGAGACTTTTGGCTGCATTCCGAATCCGCTCGGAGACGCCTGCCACTAATCGTATGTCGACGGATCTAAAATAGAAAGTAGAATTTTTGTATCTCCAAAGTAATTCCAGAATAACATATTTTTTATTGTTTTTTACACTTAATATCACGTATATATTAGACTTTCTTTCGCAGATTCTAAAACAGAGATATTTACAAAAATAACTGATTCGCAAGTATAGAGATGTGTATATAGGATTTTCCAGGTCATAGAATTGGCACTCGTAGCTTCGGAAATACTAAATTTTCATTTCTTGGCAAAAGTGAACATGTATTTTTCTTCTACACCTATATAGTCTAGATATATTTTACTTTGAAAACTACAAAAAAAATTACAAGAGAGACAAACAAATCTTGCGAGAATTTGAACTAACAAGAGTTTCAATCATCGATCAAGTTTGACATAATTATTTAATATTATTTTTGCAATTTTCTTACCGCAGTCGACCGATCGATTATAAAGTTGCATCGTGACAGATAACTCTCTACTTTATATTTAATGAAAATCAATCAATTGTATATGTTTTAAACGGATTACGATAAATACTCTACTTGATATAATTTCTATCACATTTTGTCACTTTAAGAAATATGTCTATTAAGAAACCTTAATATTTTTGTCTTTTTTTTCTCTTAAAGTTTCTTCTAAAATTTTAGCGCAAAATTCGATGATCATCTCAGCTCACGGCCGATCTGTTTATTCTAATTTTCCATTTTTCTAATTATAAAATATGTTCTTCATGAGTATGTCGATCTTACCGTCGGTACTTTTCCATTTAACCGCTCCAAATCGCCGCTGAGCAGATTGTTTTCCTCGGCGATCTTCTCTTCGTTAATCATATCATCCAAATCGGGGTCATCGGCGGGATATATCGGTGCGGATAATCGTTTCTCCAAAGTGCTCGCTTTTCTCTCCAAGGGCTCAGTCTCCATATGCACCTTGTGTAATGAATGCAGGGACTTGGATGCGCTGAACAGAGAAATCAAGACATTCCGTTGAGAAAATTAACGCGTTAAAAGAAACGGTTATCAAATATCAGTGCAAATAGAATCCCCCCCCCCTGTTCATTGAATGTTCATTACTTTACTATGTTAGGGTTGCTGCCGAGGAGTTCCGCCGCCGTCGGGTATTCCGTATTGTTATTCGTGCCGAAGAAACCGCTTCTATTCGGCTGCACACAATGCAACGAGGTCGTTGACACACCTTTTGCCATTAACGTGGTTTTCACCTCGAGCGCAGCGTTTTCCGGGGTGTTCTTTACCTTAATCCTCGTTGGTTTCAAAGGACGGAACATCGCGCCAAATATGGCACAATGTAATATCATGCCTGAAAATCGCATAAGTCGTTTCTTCTGTTAATCAGACGTCAAATCGTTGATTACTATTATCCAAATTTATTTTATTAATGAGCATTAATATCCATATATGTATATAAATTTATGATGTATAAAATGTATTACAAATCTCGAATTTTTTTCAATGTTTAAATTTATATATAACTAGCTGGTTACCCGGGCTTCGCCCCGGAGGACATATGTAATCAGACACGCAAATAGTCTCTCTCTCTCTCTCTCTCTCTCTCTCTCTCTCTCTCTCTCTCTCTCTCTCTCTCTCTCTCTCTAAATACAATTCTTTAAAATTTGATTAATTATTTCCCGAAAATTCGTCAAACTTCTGATACCGCTTTCCAAAAAGATCGATAACAAAAAATTATATACTTGATAACACTCCCCAGGAAATTCAACCCCTACTTTATGTACAATTCTTTGAGATTCGGTCATTCAGAACCGGTTTTTAAAAAGATCGGTAATAAAAAATAGTACACTTTATAGCACTCCCCGGGAAATTCTACCCCTACTTCATGTATAATTCTTTGACATTTAATCAATTATTTCCCGAAAAATTGAAAGAATTAAAAAAACCGGTTTCCAAAAAGATCGGTAACAAAAACTGTACACATTATGGCGCTCGCCGTAAAATTCTACCCCTAATTTATATACAATTCTTTCAGATTCGGTCAATTAATTCCCGAAAGATTGAAAAAATTTCGATACCGGCTTCCAAAAGATCGGTAACGAAAAATTATACACTTCATAACACTTCCCGGAAAATTCTACCCCTGTTTGATCTACAATTCTTTGAAATTCGGTGAATTATTTCCCGAAAAATTAGAAAAATTAGAAAAACCGGTTTCCAGAAAATCGGTAACAAAAAACTATACACATAGTGGCACTCCCCGGAAAATTCTACCCCTATTTCATATACTTTTGGTAAAAATTATTTGAAAAAATTTCGATACCGGCTTCCAAAAAATCGGTAACAAAAAATTATACACTTCATAGTACTCCTCGGAAAATTCTACCCCTGTTTGATCTATAATTTGTTGAGATTTGATCTATAATTTGTTGAGATTTGATCAATTATTTTTCGAAAAATAGGACAAATTTAAAAAATCGGTTTCCAGAAAATCGGTAACAAAAAACTATACACATAGTGGCACTCCCCGGAAAATTCTACTCCTATTTCATATACTTTTGGTAAAAATTCGGTTCAGGGGTTTGGGCTGGGCGTTGATGAGTCAGTCAGTCAGTCAGAACAATCGTGAAAAAAACACATTTTACCCCTTTTCACCCCCTTAGGGGTGGAATTTCTAAAAATCCTTTCTTAGTGGATGCTTACGTCATGAGAGGAATACACCCTCCAAATTTCAAGTCTCTAAGTTCAGGGGTTTGGCCTGGGCGTTGATGAGTCAGTCAGTCAGTCAGTCAGTCAGTCAGTCAGTCAGTCAGGACATTTTCCTTTATAGATATAGATTTATATATATAGTAAATATAAATCTATATATAAATTTATACATTTACATATGTAATATTAATCTATTAGATATATAAATTTCTATTCAGTAATATATATTTATTTAGACGCCAGTAATATATATTTATTTAGACGCCATAATATGCGAAACAGATTACTATTATGAATATATTGGTTTTCATTTGGTATATATATCACTTTCACACATTACGTGGATTTCTGAACGCTTTAACATAAATATATTTGACAGTTGATTACATACAAACGTCACAGTTTATGAGTCGAGACGTAAAATCATGCGGAAGTAATAAGAGTTTTATGTGGTCTCATAACTAACTATTCGATCAAACGGTAGACTAACAGACTAACTTATCTCGCGACCGACTTTTATCTTGAAGTAAGCACCGTCTTATGTTATTCATGCAAATCTTCGTTACTTAACCAAATGTACGTGACGTACCATGATGTTCATGATATTAAGTAGAAAAAGGCAGTCGCGCGCTATTGCCATTTTTCATTGATGAGAAAACATTGATAAGATCAGAGTTAGCAAATTTAATTGAAAGTTTAATTAAGAAAAAGTATAGAAAGAAACAACGTTCTTTATCAAGTCATTTACGTAATGTAGATGATAGCGCGTTTTTATTTTCACAATAGACGGCTCTCAATGGATCTATACCTATTTATTATATTATGTATTCGATTTTTCTGCGGGAGAAAACTAAATCATCTATAAATGAGATAATAATTTACAATATCATAATATTTATTTAAAGGCGAAGGCATATTCTTTATAGAAATACATATATTAATTAAAATTTTAATTAAAATCACAGAATCGTGATTATTGCAATTCATATAATGTCGATAATTTTAGATTTTTTATCTCAATTAACATAATGCCCATTACTTATTCTTATAATAATACTTGTAATAATAATAAAAATTAAATATCGTTTAAAATAATATTTTTACTAATCTTTCCAATTGATATTTAAAAAGGTCCGTTTTAAAATATATAATTTATTTAAGAATATTCTCACCTGCTTGACACAGCAAGGCTCCTCTCCAGCCGAAAGTTTTCACGAGTATATTCGAAAGCGGTGCAAGCAAAAATGCACCGATACCGGAGCCGCATACTGCGATACCTGTAGCTAAGGCTCGCCATTTTTCGAAATAAAAACCGGTAGTTATCACGGCCGGCACGTATATTAGACCTGCTCCGATACCACCTGAATTTTTTAAGAAGTCTTATTCAAAAAAATCTATACAAATTATAAATTTAATACTTATTTGCTTATAAACATCTGAATCAACCTTTATCAGGAAATCTTAAATATTTTACTTTACAATACATTCCTTTATTACGATTAATTTTTAAATTAATTATTTTAAAATTTATTTAATTTTATTCTTTTTGCTATTATTTCTTAAAAGTATTGAAATATGAATTATAAAAGAAATATGAAAAGTATTGAAATTTGAATAATGATATTTCCAAGTCGATATCGATTAAATATCGATAATAAAGCAATTTAAATCCTCGATTTCCTGCAGGATTGAATAAAATACAATATCGAGTACATGTAAGAGAATTTGACAAAGAAAACTCTCGATGGAAACGCCAACTACTTTGGCAATGAGAAATATCCGAGACATAAAGGAAAAGAACTTACCGATGACACCATAAGAAAAGTAAAGAAATTCGATAGAAGTGCTGAAGTACGCGAGGACGAAGGCGGCGCAGCTTATCACGCTTCCTAATATCGCCACTAGTCTAAAGCCATATCGATTGGCGAGGGCGGATACGAAGGGACCTGAGAAAAGCGATAATTTAATTTGTCGTCGCTTTACCGACGATTGCGGACTTGATTTTCAAATATCCGGTTGAATGGGAACGTGCGAATCATTCTTACACGCTGATTATCGATACAATTCTAATCATTTCTTTTTCTTTCCTTTACCCTTGAGTATATTAATTGCTATGTATATTGACTGTTCGACTATACGCAACTTAGCACAAATGTCGTCATTATAATAGCGAGCAAGTTGTATAAGGAACAATATACACCTCGTATGTTTGCACAAGTGATTCTATTAATATAATATTGCTAACATGAAAACGCTACATAATATAAAATAATGTGTGTATCAAATTTATAAATATATTACAGAAAAAGTACGTTTTTACAATATAATTTAAAATATAATTTCGAGATCATTAATGAAAAAATCCGCGGACGCGTAAATAATAGAAATACATAAAATTAAAAATGGAAAATATAAATTAAAAATGTTGAAATATTTAAAATTTTTTCTATTTGGCGCTTTTATTAATACCTATTTTATTTTAATCGATAAATTTTATATATTCTATAAGATTACTAGTCAATTATCAGTTAATTTTTATATTATATGATAGCAAAGAATTCGTGTATAAAATGCAAACAGCTATCGTGTAAATAACTTCTAATTTCTTCAAAATGGAACGTACAGTTTCCGCAACATTAACTTTACATCGCTCTTTATCATTATGAGTATTATAGTTAGCCACAATTTTGCCATGCGTCTACATCGTTAAAACTGATTATAGACATGACAAATTTGCGATATATAATTTTTCCATAGTGACATAGAAACTCCATCGTATATTTCTCTTCAAATCTTACTTTCGAACGATTATATAACACTATGCAATTATACAATATAATATTGCATAATTAAACATGCTTAACATTTATAAGATGTAACTATTAATTATCCATGTCATCGACGTAGATATAGATCGTGATAATTTAAACGCGTAAAGCCGTAAAACGTTGTTAAACGGTTCGACGATAAATTGAACATCAAGTGGGAATACTTCTGCATACTTTTATTTTTCTGAATTGTACCGCGAAGATCCTTGAGACTGGTCATACAAATGGTTATTTATTGCGATGCTAATTCGGGTGCGAACACAAGTGTACATTATACAATATATGTGCAACTTTATCGACTCGATATGTATCAGAAAGATTCCATATGCGAGCATATTATATCGTTGTATTGTACAAACAGACCTATCAGTTGCGTATATTCAACAGAAATATGGCTATCATCGTTATCGTATTTTCGGTGTCTTGCACAAAACGTGTTGCGTCAATATATATTGTGACTTGATATGTCAAAGAAATGTAAATTCTAAAGGTTGCAAAATATTCCAATTTTAAAATCTACATATAAAAGAATTCGTCGATTGAGCGATACGACATTTTGTATTACGTCACATTTCATTTATATTCTTGATAAATACGATAAACTATTCCAGAATTTGCTTGTTTATTAATTACACAAATTTTTATGCAGTATAATATTATAATCAAATGCAATCTTGTTGATATGACGTATTGTTATGCAAATCTGATAGATACTCAATTATTGCAGCTGGAATAAAAATGCATTTAAAATTTTACGTGTCGTTACGGAAAGGGATTTTTTAAATAAAATTTTTTTAAATACATTTGACGCTTCTGAATCAATATTATAATTAATCTTACAAAATAAAAGTTATTTTTATTTTTACAAAACGGTCACTCATTTGGATGCATAACTCAAAAATTGTCTTTGCTTCTCTATATGAATTAATTTAATAGAAGCTTTTCAAGGTTCAAAAAGATATAAAAATAAAAAACTATTATTTCAAAGTTCTCAAAGTGTACGAAATACTTTTATCTTGCAAAGAATCTTATAAAAACGGCATTGCACTTTTTTAAATTAACTATTCGGCATTATTTTGCGGTTAATACATAGATCTGCTATTAAATATTACATACGTGTCATTACTAACCAACCATGAGATAGAATCCGCTCTGTAACGAATTAACGAACGCGACACTCGCTTTCGATACAGAGAATGCGTCCGCGATATCGTTGAGAAACACGCCGAAACTGAAAATAATACCGTCGACGAAGAAATTGCACATAAAGGAGGCTGCAACAATTACCCAGCCCCATCCTCCGTCAGGTGGTACGACCATTTCCACTTCGATGGTCTGTTGACAAATGTTAATGAAACTTTTACAATAATTAACGAGTATCTTGCATAAACTAGTTGAGTATACACCTACGTAAAATTATTAGAAACGACTGTTTTTGCGTAACAGTAAATTAATACGATTTTTTTACTTTTTACTTTTACAAACTTCCAATTAAGATCGAGTAATTCTGCATTAATTAAAGACTTTTATTTTGTTAATATACATATATATATCAATTAAATATATTTTATTTTAGAAAATATTCTAATGGGAAGGCAAGATTTTAAATTAATGAAACATAGATAACTTTAACTAAAATTACTTCTATTACAATATAATATTTTTATATAAAAATAAGGCAAACGTGAACAATGCAACAATGAGTTGAAGATTAAAATATATAATACTGTACATAAAAGCATTGAAAGCGGCAATTATTTAATAATTATAATGAAAATTCGCTACAGCTTAGTTACTTATTTAGTTCTCTAAAATCTTAAAAGTACACAATCAACTTGCTACGAACGCCGGATTTATGCAACAAACACAATAATGGAAATTAGAGACCTATGACTTCTAATTAGTATGGAAATTTGTGCAAACGATGTACGTAGATTTTGAGTAAGAAACAAAACAAAGCTAAAAACATTAAAGTTAAGAAAAATATGCAAATGTAAAATTATTTAAAGATAACCGATAATTTTAATTGGTTAATTTATAGATAAGATAATAATTATAATTCGATTGCTATATCATTCTTAATCTGAATAATATGCAGCAAAAACTTTTGGAGATATGTACGATTGAACACAATGACGTACATGCATAAGATTTATATAATCACAATATCTAGCTTATGCGATTTGTGTTCTAGACACTATCTATTTCTGAGTAAAACAAGTTAAGAACAAGAAAGAGACACTATCTATTTCAATATCTTTTATCAATTTGTGAAAAACAAACAAAAAATTAGAATTAGCCAATATTTTAAAATAAATTGTTCACTTATTATTCCAAAATAACATGGTTAATGATTTCTTGTTTAAAGTGGACGAAATCGTTTCTTGTTAATTGACTTTAGAAATAATTATACTTTTTGCATTAATCGTAATTAATATTAGATTTAATTTGCATGAAAATATACATGGCTGTTTTGCGCAAGCAGCAGAATTGTACGTTTAAACTACATGTTAGAAACTTGGTACTTTGACTGTTAATAAATTCTAAGGATGATAATTAGGATGATAATTAGGATGAAAATTCTCACTCGTGAGAAAACAGTTTTAGAAAAAATACCTAACACGATACGATATACATCGAACCTGGTTTGGAGAAGCACGGCACGAAATCGGTTAATTCGCAAATGTCCTCTTGTTATTTTATAAACATTAATTTGATTTGCTTTCGCTCATTGGAAATTCACAGGATGCCTGAGGTTAAGGCCATTCCGAAAGCCGAGAGCCCGGTCTTTAGTATTTCGGCTGTTTCGCGTGACCCAAAACTTGAAAAGTTATCAATCTGCCGTCAAACTGCGTACGCCTAAAACGTTGACTTGCCACGGACGGCAAATTTGCCTTCGGTAGCCTCGATATAAAACAACGATTCATTTAATAAGATCTATAAATTGATACAAATTTATTTTTGCAAGTATAAAATTAATTTATTTATTTATGTTTTTAAAAAGATAAAAGAATTTGTGAAGAGTATGCAATCGTATTATAAAATATATCCACAAGTAACTTGTATAATCAGTCTATCGTCAACGATCGATTAAAATATAGAAACGTAAAGAAAAGTGCGAAATCATTCTAGCGTTTCTTATAATTCAGGAAATCGTCGCGACGGCCTTCATTTCCGTCGATGACAAAAACACTTTTTTTGTATACGATTACAAACATAAACGCGTAATCCAGAGAAGTTCATTGTCCGAAAGTCCAAGCTTATTCGCACAGAAAGCGTCACGTGTGGTCAGTCAGTCGCGGGATAAAAATCGAGAGGAGTTTTATGGTCGTTCGCGTTCGCGCTGTTAATTTCCAGGCGGATAAGAAAAAAAAATTCAATCGGGAACGCGTATCCGCCTCTGAATGACCCACAACGAGACAACGACTATCGGGTCCATTATGTGTCGCAAATAAGGCGATATCGCGTTTGCAGCTTTACAGCGCACGATCCGTCCATCGCTCTCAACACGAGCTTACTAATCACGCAAACGAGACCGACAGCCGTCGCGCGAGTGATTGCTCACGGCGCGAGTTTTTGCAGCTTCTGCATTTTGACACACCTACACGCGAAAAAATATCGCGGAAAATCACCTCGTCGTTGTTGTTGTCATTGACGTCCTCGAGCTGCAGCTCCTCGCTTTTGCGCTCGTGACCATTTTGCTGCGGTTTACTCGCGTCGGAAACCTGCTCCTCCACTTTGCCCACCGTCGTCGACATCGTCCCGTCCGAATATCTGAAACACGCCCGTGCAAAACGTCACGTGAAATCTGTTCAACGAGAACAGACACAACGTCGACACGATAAACATAGAGATACACTTGATTTAGATATTAATGGAACTCGGAAAACTTAGAGGATATAATGTTAACAATTAGAACAGAGATCAGCAAATTATGGCCCACATTTTTATACAATTTGCGTAATTGTAATACTATTACATTTTGAATTTTGTTAATAATTTGTTTTTTCTTTTCTGTATATTGTCAATTTCGCCTGTTGGCTCGCAAAACCTAAACTTTTACTATCTGGCTATTTACAGAAAAATTTGCCGATTTCTGAATGATTTTCGAAGATACGCTGAAAAAGATGACTACTGTTTTTCTCGAGTGCTATTGCAAATATAGAGACATTACGTCTTGCAATCGTATATCGATTTGCCAATGCGATGTTTTCAATCCCGATGTTTATTATCTATCATCCAGTGATGTTACGACATTATCGCTTGAGATTCATAATAAGACTATAAGCTGATTGCAGAAAGAAAATATGTTTGCAAATTTCTCTTCACCTTGTTAATGCGTAAGGGTTACTTACTAATCTTGCGCCTTTTTTGCAAAATTTTGTAATGGCACACATACCACGATTCCATTGAGCCATAATTAATGTCGAAGATTAATCTGGTTTGAAACAATGTCGCTCATAAATAGCGTGAATAATATTCAAAGCGTGTGTCTACGCTTGACGTATGTCTACTGTATCGTAATGCGATAGAACTTGAATAATTCCAGTCATTTGCATTAATGTCCAATCTGAGTTCATCTCTTTTAAAAAAGCATAATTGAGACAAATTTCACGAACAGATTGCATGCCATTTTATGGTATGCTCCAATATCGCAGTACATAAAATGGAAGCAATGCAGTTCAAAGTTAATGTCGAAATTATCAATTTATGACAAAATAGGGCATTTAGTTCATTTATCTTAAAGAAAAATCTATTTAGAGCAAATAAAGATTTTATAATTGTAGATAAAAAATATCTCCCTGCCTCTGGAACATCTTGTATAACATCTAATAGCATATAGTAGAAAAATCAAAGGCAAGTCCGACCACTTTCTTCATATCAGCATATCATCAACGATAGCTCTTTCTTTTTTTTACGCGTCCATATACGAACCGTAGAAACGTCGAGGCAAAGAAGCGATTTACTCGTTAATTGAATGTCAACGAAAAAGACAACAGTGTTGAACCGGTTAATGGTCACGTGCCGACGAGTTTTCGTAGTAGCTTTAATTCGCTTGGCCTTGATCTTTCGGGATTCACCTTCCCTGATCTCCCTACTCGAATTTAATTGCTGGCATAACGTTTTCATTATACGACATCTTGACAGACGTTTAAACGATAAAAGCCACTTGAGAATACGTTACATGAGCTGATCGATCTTTTATCAGTGGCACGTGTGATTAGTTATTATTAATTCTGAAAATTAATAACGACCATATACATGACGGTTGACATTGTAGTATAGTACGTTATCAAGAATAACGGATAAAAAGACAATTATAAGGATTAGATGGTCTCGTTATCGCAATCAGTCGTTTTAATGTCACATCTAACAAGCTAGCTTTTAGAAGTTCTTGATCAATTCGGAATTGATTTTTCTTTATCGAGAATACGATTAATAGACTAATTAATATCATATCGTGAATCAGTCTTTAACATTAAATCGAAACTAATCCTAAATTACTAAAAATTTTACTATCTATTTACTTTTTCTCGAGAAAGATATATAATTTGAATCGTCTGCTTTATTGACCTAATGACAGGTTAATTAAGAAGATCATGGATAGTAAATTAATCAAAGAATTCGTAATCAGACCGTGACTCGATAAGTTTAGGATACCTTGTGTGATTAAAAAAGGATTAAAATGATCACTCATTGAAATTTTACTTATTGTCAAAATTCTGCTGATCGAATAGATTGAAATTCTACTTACTGTCGAAATCCTACTGATCGAACGGATAGATGTTGACAAAGAGACAGCAAAATTAGAATTGTAATAATATTTGACGCGTTTGTAGTATCGAATCTATCTTGTGAATCTTGTATCTGACGTCTTACGAATTGGCGATAAGATAAACTCAGCAAAATATTTATCCCTGATACAACATACGTATTCGTAAGTTATTACTTCTCCAATTCGGAGCAGCCTTTCATAGTCGATACCAGTTTTATTGCCTGACTGATTGCGCCAATTTCTTCTCTTTCTCGTTTTCTTTTTCTTTTTCTTATTTTTTATGGCGCCTCACAATACATGTGCATGTGATCATGCTGTCTGACTCTCAGATACAATATCAACAACGATTAAAAATTACAACCTCATCTTTCACGCGTGCACATGCCATTTGCATGTGTTATATTATGCACAGCTTCAGCAGCTATCGTACAAACAGAATTGTGTAAACTTTCCTAATTGATAACGGATATGTTTATTTTTAGCATGACTTCGCTCATTTTATCCTCTCGCTGAGCAATGATCCAAGAAAGGAAAAAATAAATTCTGCAGCGGAAACTGCAACATCGCTCCACTTTTTTCTCGCTGTCGTTGAACGACTATCTTGTCACAACGGCGATTCTGGCCTTTAATAAAATATTTCGTATGAAAATATAAATATACTAAATATTCTTAACGACTGACAGCCGAACGAACCAGCTGTTATTTGAAATCAAGTCCGTTTTTTTATTGTCTCGATTATATCTATCACCAACGCTTAAAAATCATTTCAGTTTCCGTTGCCTTTCTCAAAGCTTTATCAATGTCATGTTTTCTGGACTTGGTTTGGAAGATTTCACTTCTCTTTGCCGATTACTTCCAATTTTCATTTCTAGTCTGAATATTTTTTTATTATTTTGGATTATGAATATTGGTAGAATTATTCTGATATCTTTTAAATTTGCAATATTACAATTAAAAAACAATATTTTATATTAATTGATGTCTTCAACATTTTGTTACATGTTATTATTATATCTACAATATCTAGTTATTTATTTATTTATATTTATATAAGTATATTGCACTTTTTTACTTGAACATATAATAGATGTACTAATAACTAAACTGTGTATCTAATCATGAATCTAACCGTGCATTTAACAAAATATTTTCTGGATCTTGCTTCGACCGACATTATGAGAGCACATATTGTGACCGATATTTATAAAACTATTATACAACGATGCAAAATCCAGATATGATAATGACTTATTCATTGGCCATTTTAGATATATAGTCAGTAACATAACATACTTTTAATTGTAGATAAGAATATAAATTATTATCATGCTATTTGCACATTACATAGAATAGATGATTGGCGTTGCACAATAAACCGAGTTCTCTATCACGATGTACTTAGCATCGCTCGAATAGTGCCGAAGACTATTTATCGCACACTTTATTTACTCCGCGTCTTTTCCGCTTTGCTTGATACAAAATTCGGTCTGCAAAGATTTACATTGATGAAGCGAAGCGTACGTCACGTATTTACATACATGTATATACGCGCGAGATATCATTGTATACGCTACTTTGACGTAAAGATCCACGCGTCAATGGTAACAAAGAAGCGCGTAATTAGGACAGATGAAAGAAAATGATGAAACGAGGTAATCGCGAACTCGGATCCCCATAACAATCGCTCCGTAATAGTCGCTGTTCTAGAAACGAGGGTGGTTCTTGTAAGTACCGCTAATTAACTCTTTAAACACCGAGATAAATCGTTATCGGCGCGCAACGGACAATGCAATTCTACTAACTGGCTGATAAATTATGCCTGGGTAACTGTCGAGCGAGCAGATATCCCGTTACTTTTTAACAGATAATAAAACTTGGCGATTACGCGACGTCATGATCGCCACGTGAGGCGATTGCGGCGGCGACGCATCGATCGGCAATAAATTACTGCCACTTCAAAGGGAATTATCACTCGCGAGGGTATAATGAGTAGATCAACATTCAGTCAGAGCGATAATTGCGGTGACCAAGAAGCTCGCCTGAGTGCAGAACGAAGTACAGAAACTTATTGCATCTTCCTAGAATAAAGAGGATTTGCAATACGCTTCCGTCTTCGCGAGACGTGTCTCATTAATTCATGCACTTTTCACGCCGGACGGACAATACGGTATTGTGATCAATCGATTTATAAAAAGTGGAACAAAGTAATATATTGTAATATAATCGCGAATGCGAAGTGCAGCGCCAAGATTTTTATCGATAACTGAAATAATTACTGCGGAAGTTAGCAAGAGGCGTCCTAATTAGCGTGTAAATGCGATATTGTCAGTCGCAATATGGATTTTACAGTTTTATATTACAGACAATACGCTTCTCACATATTTTTTGCACAAAGTATTTCTTCTGTTTACTTTTATCTATTTAATGATATTATCACAAAACTTTAAGAGAAATAGATATATTTCGTAAAATATCTCGTTTATCTGATAAGTAGTAGAACTTTGCTCTGCAAATACACGTCAAATCAATATGGATCATAAGAGGATTATCCAATTTATCTTAATTCCATTTTTATCATACAATTATCTTAAATTCTTTCAAATATTTTAAACTAAAATATTTTTTAAAGATATATAAATTATATATAAATTATACGATTTATTAGATATATAAATTATAAAAATTTTAATTAATCAATACTTAAATAAATTTATGAAAGAGATAATTAGATGATTAGACTATTTTTAAATGCATCTCGGTACTCCAGAGATATTTCAATAATTATTTTAAAAAGATTTAAGGAAGAAAGGCTAACAATCGTTATT